CCCTTTCCAGCACCTCCCAGTCAGATTCAGCCTCTGCTGCCAGAAGGGGATAGGCCACAGCAGCCACCCAGCGCCCTGCTCCGAGGCTCGTGGCCATCACGCCTCCTATTATTATTTTTATCTGCATATATATACATATATAAAAAATAGAAATATTATTATAACTGTTATTTTTATATATATACACATACATTAAATTATATTATTATAGCTGTTATTTTAAGAACAGATGAGCCCTGCAGTGAGGCACCTTCTAGGAATTAATAAATAATAAATAAGGAATAAATAGCCAGCCGGCATAAGAGCCCTGATCCCACAGTCAATCCCGCTGTGAACCCCACAGACCATCCCAAAAAGCAGCAATTCCTCGCTCCAGTGTGAGCACCAACCTGCTCTCAGGGACAAGCCCGCTCTGCTTTCTCTAGGTCCTTCCCCAGCCACTTGTTGCCACGGCACACAAACATTTCCACCCATGGACTTTGAAAACTGGGGTTGTTCAACCCATTTGCACCCCTACTCGTGGCAGCAGCAGGCAAGCGGTTGTGCCCTTCGGAAAAGGTGTCTCCTCTGCACCTATGTGCCAGTTATTTGCAGATAGCGGATCCTATTATCCTATTATTTATCATGTTATTATACTATCCTATTTATTTTTTATTATATTGTCCTATTATTTATCATTTTATTATCCTATTATTTATCTTTTATCCTATTATTTACTATTTTCTCATATTGTCCTATTTTTTCCTCCCAGTTAGGGGTGGGAAGGGGTAGACCAAACCAACGCAAGTACCAGAGCACCTTTTCCTTCCCTCTCTTCACCCAAACCCCACGTTTCTCTAAACACTAACCATACCTTAATTAAATGACCATTAGGGCAATGCCTAGACTAGACAATTCCCATAATTCTCTTCTTCAAGCTGCTCATCATTGGGAAAAAAAATGTAAATAAAAATTACAACGTTTACACATGCATCCCCCCACAGCCCAGCCAAATCCAACGGGATGGATGGAGCAGCCGAGAGGGAAATGCAAAATGCAGGCAGCAACAAAAGGCTCTTCCAAGGGCAGAGGGTGCAGGGGGAGCGGATGAGTCCCTCCTTATCTCGCTTTCCCACCGGGCTGCCAGGGCGAGTTGGATACGGCCAGCCCGGAAACAGGATATGGCCCAGGAACACCCACGTGCTGGTCCTGACCGCCAGGCGCCGGGAAGAAGGGCAAGGAGGTCGCGGGAATTGTCTTCCAGAAAAAAAACCACACCGGGAGCAGCCCGGCGATGCTGCTCCGCCAGGGTCTTCCTCCCGGGACTCCCAAGGCTGAGCCTATGGACACAGCGAGCAGGAGCCAGCAGCAAGGCAGGGGGATCATTCAGGGTCACTGGAGAACAGAATTAAACCCATAAGCAGGCAGCCAGTTGTTTAGCATGGGAGTTCTTTTGCTCTGCAGCAGCAAAGCACACAATAAAGTAGGTGAGACTTCCCACCAGCCACGTGGCCACCTCCCCATAATGCATAAAGGGGGGGGGAAAAATAAAATAAAATTACTTATTCCCAATAATTTCCCAGTAGCTATTGCTGCAAATATTCAGTCCCCAGTAGCGCATCCCACAGAGCTCAGGTTTTCTCTCCCAGTCCCAAAAATACACAGAGGACCCCATAAACCAGGAGGCAAACACCCAGGGAGCTGCAGATGTTACTGATGTTAAGATGTTACCCCTTCTCACCCCATTAAATGCTTCGGTTTTTCCTCCCCCAGTCAGTCATTCACAACCATTAATTGAAAACGAGGGTCAATGGCAGCTGTGGGCAAGAGCTGCAGCAAGGCATCACCAGCAGGGATGTGGTGCAA